GTCAAAATAGATATTTGTCGTCGAAATGTGATAACCGAAATTTTTCGAGATTACAATACTTCTTTTAAACTTCGTAATTAAAAATAAATATTACTTCGTAAAGTAAAAATTCGTACGATTTTATTTAGATTAGTTTTTAGCCCAAAAGACTATTGCCCTCAAACGAGATTTTGCGTCGAATCACTATAAATACGATATTTCACTTTTCCTTCAAGTCTGTTGCTATTCTGCAAAATGTAAGATATTTATCTTTTAGATTGAATATGTCTGTTATGGATTAACAAGCTAAGCTATTTGGAAGCCATAGATGCACCTCTTATTCGTTTCTTACTTTTGAATTGGATTCATGTAAACAATATGTAAGGCTCTTTTATTTTTAATTAGCCAGATATTTTATGTTTTTTATCTATACTGTCACTTCTTCCTTCGTTTTCCCTCCAAAATGAAAATTCAGATCGCGTGTATTTAAAGTAAGGATTTTAGATTGAAACACAAAGCATTATCTGCCTCTCGAAGCTGCGTTACTAGGTTCCTGAATAATGTAAGATTTCCAGTCTTCGGCATTGTAATAACCGATGATTAATATACACGCCGGTTACATTTTGAGCACACTTCGCTTTAAATTGATTTATGTAGCCTTGGCTGCTAGTGTAGTAGAATTTAAATTTTGCATTTGACTTACTGGGTTAACGTTACCTTTTCACAAGTGTTAGGCTGAGTTGTAAGCACAGAATGTGCCGTCTGTTCTTAAATTTCATTTGTTAATTTAGGCTTAGCGATAACTCGCTTAATGTCTACCAAAGTTTGGAAACTTTGGATGACTGCAAAGCACACTAAACTCTACAAAAGAATGCACTTAATTAATTGTCTATCTAATTAAACTATTCAATATTTTCATAGAATGATGTTATACATTTTTTATTATTTAAGTGTTTGTTTTATTGGTAAAAATGAAAATTAATGAATTATTTGATTGAGAAACTCAGCGATTTGAAAGCCAGCAGTGGCAACACTGTATGGAATAAAACATTTTGTCTCTAGCGCACAAGACTATCTATCGGAAATTTTAAAGGTAGGCTGCTTTTAAATATTTTATGCTTTTGCCATTGAATTGAATCTTATGTGGCGTAAATGCGAAGAACGTGATATTTAATAAATAAATTTCACACACAAAATTCAAAATTTGGGCTTCCAGGTGCACATTTTTCCTTTTGGAGGACTACCTTATTCAAAATTTCATCGCTCTATAGGTACACTTTTCATAGTGCGAGAAACACACATGTATTCCTATTACTCCTACAGATTCTTCATTATTTAATATTTTTAAATAATACGGGGCAATGGTATTTGGTGGCAACAATTTCAAAAGTGATGCAGCCTTCTATAGTGATTCAACATAAATCCTATTTTCAGACTCGCGAGCTCAGCGAAGAAAACTGTAACAGACCCTTTTGGGTGATCATTTTAAGAAACTTTTCAGTCTCCTTTCCCTCCCCCCCCTTAAAACCTTGTCCACCATTAAAACCTTTTTTTTTTGAGCTCCCTTTTTCCTCTACGATTCTCTTCAAATTTTCTTCATTTTAAATTAACCTTGAAGGAAATATTAGAAAAAAATATTGCATTACTATAACAATACAATTATTAGAAGTTTTCCAAAGTTTTGGTATGTGAATTCTGGTAAACTTTATTATTTAAGTATTATTCACGTTCTTGTCACGTAACTCCAGCTCCCGTGCCAAACTCGACTTATTATATTCACTCCGAATCATGTAAATTCGCTTTAAAAGTTAATGCAGATAGCTATGCGGACATGTATTCATAAAGCAGTTAAGATTAGAAAATGTTGCATGAGGAAATACGAAGGATATAATCACCTAAATATATCGGTTGCATAACTGAATGTTACTGTAGAAGGAATTAATTACATTCAGTTACTGATGGTTGCAGTTAAACTCATATTGCAATAGTGCATTTCCCTGATAATGCGGATAGAGTTTAGTAGTGTATTAGATCGTTAATGTATTCATCTGCTGTTAAGTGGATCTCGGAGCTCAATAAAGGAGGCAGCTGGAGCATTTAAGTTATTTCTAATATCTCTCTGTTTGCTTGAAAGGAACATAGAAAACACTTTCGATGCGTATGTCCCCGGAATGCAACATTCAGCTTGATACTTTATGAGGTAGTTTACCACAAAAAATTTCTATGTTACCCATTAAGTTTATTGTACGGATGGTTCTGACTATCGTTTATATTAACTGTATAGAAAATTATTTCCTTTTGTTTATGGAGTTGCATGATATTTACAGTACTGGAATTATTCTTAAAATCATATTACTTCGTTTTCACTTTTAAAAGTGCTTTGATAACTCACAAAATATATTTAAGACAGTAATATAGTCGACCAGATGGTATAGTGTTTAAGGGAGACTACTTGGGTACCGAAGGGCCCGGGTTCGAATCCCGAAGAAGGCATGGATGTTTGCAAATGTCTGCAGCATGGGGGCACTCTAAGTAAATGGTGAGCCGAAAGTCCTCTCATGTGGTTTGGTGGTAGGGAAGAGGGGTGAAGGACTCCAAATTGGAGTGAAAGAAGAAGTCCAACCTCCTTGAGGCTCTGGCAACTATTCTTCCATGAAATACATGGACAAGACAACAGTACAAAAACAACAAGACGGTAATATAATCAGAAAGGAAATAAAATGTTTTAGGATTTTCCAGTTTCAGAACATTTGTAAATTACTAAGTAAATTACTAAGCTAAGCTTTTATGCAAGATTAGTCTTGGATAATTCTTAAATTCCTTAAATTCTAAGAAACTCCTTAAATTCTAAGAAACGAATGTGAATATTCTTTAATGGAGAACAAAATATTTAAATTTAAAATCATGATTTCCATTGCTGCAAAATCCACTGCGTCGCAGAAATAATGCCAATGTGTAATCATTCTAAATTTCAAATCTCGAAATTCGTCCTATTAAAATTCATTCAGCATTTTGTCACTTTTTCCATATTTTTTTTTTTTTTTTTTTTCATTTGAATGTTTCATTCAGAATGTCTTTGTATGCGACTTGAATCTAAATGTTATTAGCAATACAGAAGAAAAAGGCAGGAAAAAATACCAAAACTTGAATAGAAACTCACGGTCACCAGAATAATGTTTCTAAATATATATAAAGCAGGAAGACAACATGAATTAGAGAGACCTATATATATATATATGAAGTTATTTAATATTTTCATAATAGTGAGGAATAATTAAGGGTTATTGCTAGTTTTAAATTATAATTTTGAGACTCACATATTTTTTTTATCTTTCGTATATATATATATATCTTACGTATATTATATATTAGGCAATTTTATGCCTAATATATATTATATATTAGGTATATTATATATTAGGCAGAAAATTGCTTAATATATAATATGTGATATGTCACATATATAAAAAAAATATGAATCTCAAAATTATAATTTAAACTAGCAATAACCCTTAATTATCCCTCACTATTATAAAAATATTAATAATTTTTCTGGGCTGCGTTATTTCTATATCATTCTATGTGACATGGCTTGCATGGTGCTGATGACATAGCTGATTCGGAAGTTGAACTCAAAATTTCGAGAGCTAAAACTTTCTCTTAACGAAAACTTAAACCGAAACCTTCTGTTGGTGGACTTCCATGTTGAATTATATATATCAAGTCTATGAAGTACAGATAGACAGGCTCAACAGGTGTCCTGCTCTGGGCAGGACTATCCCGGTTTGATGGTGTTGTCCCTGCGTCCTGACCAGTTTATCATTTGTCTCGGTTATCAGATAAGTTTTTTAAAGTACCGAATATGTAAGAAGTAAAAATAGGGCAAAAATAGGTGAAACTGCGATTTTTCAAGAAAAATGTTTCATCTGTTACATTTCTGTTGCCAATCTAAATACATTGTATCTAAATCTAAGTACTTTTAATGCTGTCCGGGTGTATGCGGTCTAATGAATTTAAATGTTTCATTCTTTCATGCAACTGTTTTTCCTGGAATTTATAATACCATGCAGTTTATGAGATACAGATATTTTTATTTCATTTTTTACATAGTTTCTTTTAATTATTGTTGACAACAGTGGAATTTCTCCTGGCCACATCATCGTTACGGCATGCTAAGTTCAAATTTCGAGTCGTCATTTGCGATTATTTTGTACTGTATATTAAATTAATTTAATTTCTGAAATTCCAGGAAGAAACTGTATGTTCACTGATCGTACAGACAAAGTGAAATAATAACTGAGTTTGTATCAACTTTTTAAGAAAGTTCACACTAGTGATTAATACTAATAACTTCTTAATAATAAGACGTTCAAAATTTCTTTTAACTCTTTGTTATTTTTGTGAACAAATTCTTTATTTACATTTTTCAATCGGAGGTACTTATCTTAGTAAGTTTTATTCTCGGTTATATTTTCTCAACATTGTTCGTATTTCAGCAAAAAATATTATAGCGAGCTTTTATATATATATTAGAGATTAGTCCGGCTCTATAAATTGAGTTTACCGATCTGGACTACCGTATAACGAAACGAATCTAGTAACCCAAAATGTAAAGATGAGATATCCCCTACGTATATTTCCTGTGTTCTATTTTTCAACTGGAATAGCAGCTAGTAACTCTAACACTTATTATAATTGCAGTAAAATCTCAAATATGAATAGCCTCTTTGATTTATTATCATTTCTATCATATAAACGAGGGAAAAAAACCAAAAAGTCATATTAAACTAAATTTTATATTTTTCCTATAAGAAACAATTGCTTTCTTAAAATCAAAAAGGGAAAGCAATTTTCTGCCTAATCTCTTTTGCTGTTTGCTTTTCTGAAGTTGCCAATTTGAGAAAGCAAATTTTCAAATAAGCTTCAAGTTTGTTCAGCAGGCAGGGAAATTCAATTTGTTTCTTTTAAAAGTTTTCCCGTGTGTTGGACTTCATCCAAGAATAATATTTCTTTATTTTCAGAGCTGCGATTACCGCTGTGGAGCAGAAAATGCGACGAAGAACAGGTAAGAAACTTTGATTTTTAATAGTATCAAAATTCGAATTCGAATGCTAAAACGATTACGTAGGCAATGGTAACTATAAAATTCCAGACCAAAGATTCTAACTTTCCATATTTACTTTGCATTTATTTCTATATTTATTTTTTGAACATAGAACTAGAAAAAATGTGAAAACATTAAAACTTCATCGTACCCATTAGTTCTCATTTTTAATGCAAACGCTAAGATGCAGGGAAATAAAAGAAAACTTTGCAGTCGGTTTGTTTCGCAATAAAAGAGGCAGTTCAGAGCCTATTTTAGTTCCTCCACTCTTGCGTATAATGTAAATAGCTATTACTAAAAGTGAAGGAGGTCCAGGTAAAATGATAGTTTAAATGATTAACATAATGTATTTAACTATTCATTTTTATAATTCCTTAAATTACTGAAATATTTTTATTCATTATCGATTGGCAACAGCCCTTATTTAAAACGAACAGGGAATTGGAAACTATGACACCTATTCGAGGTGTGTTACATATTTTGTACTTTTTCTATGTGTTAAAAAGACCACCGTTTCATATTTCAAAGCTGTAAAGTCATTAGGTTTAATTAAAAGTCAAACAACAAAAATCAGCCTTATATCTGCAAATTTTCACAGGATTAGTTTCGATGGTTTAAACGAACCATCAACCTCAGCTGCCAAAGCGCAAATGAGGGAGATAAGATATAGTGATTAGACAAGATAAGAATGGCTAGACAGGAGCTAAGCTACTTGCGCCATCTATTGATGAAACGAGAACTAAGACATATTTTCCTTAAAAGTTGAAGGCAAAGATGGATTGGAAATAAGATCGTTAACTAGAACAGAAAGTTTTTTTTTAATGTGAAATGCCTCTAGAAAATCTAATTCAACAATGGAAGATGTTTTTTGAATAATTTTGGCTGCAGAAAAATTAAAAGTGTGGTTTTCAGACCAACAATACTGGGAAACAGAGGACTTTTGTGTTTCCTCTTTTCTTTTTGTGTTTCCTTTTTTTTCTTTTTTGTTGCTTGACTTCTAAATAGATACTTGGTCTGCGTGTTATTTTATCTGCATTAGGTTTTTTTGAAGCAGAAGAAATGGGAAAAGGGCGACTGAAGATAAGCGGATTCAGTCGCAAAATCCAGGCGGTGACGAATTGTTATTCACCGCCTTTTAGTTCGGCCGGCACTGCATATAGTCATTAGGGTTTTTTTTTTTTTATTTTTATTTTTCATTTTTTTTAACAGGAGACGTGACAAACGTGCAGTGCTCTCGCCGGGACTCGAACCTGGACCTCTCGAATACGCGCCGAGTATACTACCATTACACCACGATGGCATGCAGGAAGGAGAGATAAAATACCTTATAAAGTAATATAATTTTTTTTTTGCTTTTTTCAGCTGTAACGAAGGGATTAAAATCATTCTGTTCTGCATTAATCATCATCAAGTGCATTCTTACAATTTGGATTGCCCTTTTATTCTGACGAAAAGGAAACATTTGTAATTTAACAGTTAAATAACAATTAGCTTTTTATTATAATCCTTCCTATATGCCTCGTCCCGTTAAATTGTTCTCTCAAAGCATATATTAATCAAAATTTTACGACAAGCGGCATGATCTAAAGATAGGATATAATTTTAACCGGCGAAGCAGTGGAATTCGCTGCAGAGTGCTACCATCTTGTTGACCAAAGCTGCTTGAAGAGTACAAATGTAAGAATTACTGAAAGATATTGTTGAAAATATGATTAGATTACATCGTTGTAATCATGTTGTAACTTTAACTCACTAGCAAGCTGCTGCTGTTGACAGTCAATGAGAAATCACGTAATTTAAAGTGTACTTCTATTATCGCAACTAATAACGTTTTAATTTGTTTTGAAGCAGGAAGAGAGCATAAACACTAGGCATAATATCTTGAGATCGACCATTAGGTTTGAAAAAAACAACGCACAGTTAGTTAATTTAACATCCTTGAAGTTATTAAACTTACATATGCGATTCATCGTTTTGTTTACTCTCTTGAAATTGGATTATTCCACATCTGCAACCTGCTTAATATAAATATTTTTAACTATCTGAGACCGACGAATTTCAGTTTTCAATCTTATGAGTCACAATTTCGCTCATCTACAAAATTTTTAAAGAGCATGACAGTTATCATCTTATCACTTTGTTCTTGTTTATTGTCTTGTTCTTTACTCAAAACATACACAAACACTGATTTAGAAACACTATTTTAACCCACTAATGGGCTGTACTTTGACCCAGGATACTGTAGTTCGACTCAGAATCAAATCCTGCCATACGAACTGGCTGCGTAGGTGTTTTCATGGTTTACTTCATAAGTAAAGTAAATATAAGACAGCTTCCATTTGGAAGTACTTGCAAGAAGGCTTCCCTCGCATTATGCAACAGCTATCGTGTCTTTTGCTGTATTCAATGAAACCAACACTAATAAAAGTCTAATTATATCCAAATCCACTAACTATAGTCATTTGTTCAAACTGCTGCGCTTATATCACGTGATTTAAATGTATTAGACATTATCCCAATTCACTTGTCAGAATACATTAAACCTCCAAATGGCCTAAGTAACTTGGATCGCAGCCCATTTGGTTATATGATAATTGTGTATAGATGCATTTCTTCTCCACACCCCTCTTATCTTATACTTTATACCAAACGAGTATTGAAATACAATTGAGGAGATTTTTATTTTCATTCATCATATTTCATTTTTTAAAAATTAGAGAGTGAAGAAATTACACTTCTCTTCAAAAAATAAGCAACAAAGGCAAAACACGGAATAAAACAAAGACTATTCAATGGATATGCGTGAAACTGATCCAAGAGGTTGTTGTGGCATTACTAGACCTCACAGCAAAGAATAAAGCAAGGACATACCAGAACACATGTATTGCGATCATAACATCACGAAAGACCAAATGAATCGGGAAAATGTGCAATGGAAATATCACGCTAATAACTGGTATGATACCTTCTAGCTGAACTTCATGCTTGACAACGGCGAGGCAAGCTGGCAATGGTACGAATGAGAGAAATACAACCCGATCTACCTGGTCTAAAAATAGACCTATGATCTTGTTTGCGTCGCCTCTAGGTTCACCACAAAACAAAACTCAAGCACAATCACAACATTAAAATACAAACTATAAAAACACAGTTAACACATATCAAGTGAAAAGAAACAAGAACATATAGAATAAGACATCATAAGGCATAAAATCATTAGTATCGCAGAAAGTCAAAATGAATAAAATTACAACGCCAGATCAATTCTATAAAATTCCAAGATCACTAAAATACAAATAAAAATACAATAAAAGAGAATTTTTAATTAATACAGTTATAATTCTAATTATATAAAAACATCGCATGCACTCCTTTTACCGTTAAGCTGGCAATGGTGTCGGTGATCGCCTGTTGTGGCAGGAGTGCCCGTTCCTGCAGTAATTCAAGTCGGAGGTCGGGGAGGGTGCCTGGCGGCACAATGCTACCTGCTATTCGTCGCCCGAAGATGTTCCACACATAGGGTGTATGCGATTCAGTTGCTGTGATCTAGCAGGCTACGTGGATGTGGAATGATTTTACGTTCCTGATAACTCCGCACCACTCAACCTCTATGCGGGCGGGCGTAATCGTTCATAAATATCATATCGGTACGCAATGCAGCGATAAAATAAGCCACAAAAGGGTGTCGAATTTCATCGCTATATCGCACGGCTATGATGGAGCCACCAGGAATCACTTAGAGGTCGATGCGGCCATTCGTTGCTATCCCAGCCCATACAAGTAAGCCTCCTCCTCTGCAATGGACTCTTTCGACGATGTCTGGTACCCGATAGCATGTCCCTGGCTGCTGCCATATCATTGCCTTTCGGAAATCGTTCTAGATCTTAAATCGAAACTCGGCCACTGTTCTTAAATCGAAACTCAGCCCCACTGTTCTGATGTCTAGCTGAGATATTCAGGTGCCCAGTTGAATCGCGCTCTGAACATGTGCTGAGTACAACGGAACACAAAAAGAGGTCATCGGGAGTACGGTCCACTTTCATCTAGTCAACGCGACACAGTTTGGTGGATTATGGACCGTCCCACAGCAGCAGAGAGATGTGACGCCAACTGTGGTGCTGTTAATGATTTACAGTGTGTTGCACATAGCAACACAAAGCGATCGTCTGCCGTTATGGTAATCCTCCGGCGTCCAGGCTAAGGGTTTTTGATCCCTTTGGTAACGATTCCACAGCCTATTGATGACACTACAATTCACATTCAGATCTCTGGCACCAGCTTGCAACATCCAACAGTTCTCCAACGCATTTGGTGTCTTCGGCTCATACTTTCCGCTTTGGTTCTCTCGGATTACATGGAACTATCCCTGCTTGCGGACTGACGCATGGGACCGACATGGTCCTTTTTAATGCTTTGTTGTATGACTGTGGATTGCGTTTTATGATAATTTTGGTTGCCTATTTGTATTTGGTGATGAAACCTGTACCTCATAATAGTTAGGTAATATATGAACTATGTTGAGAGCAGCTCTTCTGATGCGATAGTGTGCGGTTTTTTTGTATTCCGTCACTCTGTGAGCTACCTGAAATATGCTAGCTGTGCGTTACTTAGAACTTACACTTGTTTAGTGAATACACTGCTTTGCTTTCGTAAATCTTGCAACTTTCTACAAACAAAAGAAATTTGAAAGATTTCAGATTTTAAATTACGTCCAAAAGGGCGTTTTTTAAACATTGTGTGTGATACCTTTATTTATTAAATATCATGTTCTTCGCACTTTAAACCATAAAATTGAGTTCAACAACAATATTGCAAAATAATTTTAAACTGAGCATATCTTTAGAATTTCCAATACAGAATCTCACGCGATGGAGATCAAAATGTTTTTCCTGCACAACCTTACCATCGCTCGCTTTGAAATTTTTGAGTTTGTTAAACAAAAATTTGTTAAAGTTTTACAA